AAGCTGCTGCTTTCCATCTGTGGCTACGTGGCCGCACTGCAAGTGAGAGCCAAGTAAACGTAAGTAACTTCCACAGCTCATGTTGCATTCTTCAAGTGCAGGAACACATTTCCAGACCCATGGAACTGGTTTTGACCTAAAGTTGCCTTCTTCCCTCCGTTACATCACAGTGTCAGTCTGACATGCTCCAGAAACTAGAAAATGCAGTCTTTAGGAATTGTGCTGCTAGCACTCAGTCAGTCACATCTAGAGATGATCTAAAAATCTAGAAATGTAATCATTCAGTGCCAGTTCCCCTCAGCCCGCTCCCACGATGTTTAACCATCATTCTATGCAGTACAGCACTGATGGATGAAAGCTAGAGTATTGTGTTAAGTTCATCCTTAAAGTGGAACAGCACTGTGTGTTTGCATGTGCATTTGGATGTAAGCACACCATGCTTTGTTATTGTTAGGTTCTTATATTTGTTATCCAAGTAATTTATTTGTAAATAATGTATGATTATAAATTTGTGAACTACACAGAAAAGACATCTACTTTGGAAAAAAAGGGGAATGAAAATCCTATGGGAAAGAAAATAGCAGGAACGTTTTGTGTTTGGTCGTTGTTTTTTTTTAACTCAGCACAAACAATGCTTCTGAAAAGCCACTTCTTGCAAATAAAATAAAAACTTTGGTTCCCTTCTGCCTCCTGCCCATCAAACACACAGCTCCATAACATTCTGGAGGCACAGGAATTAAGTCCTGGCTGAAGATCTTTAGATGGGGGCATGGGGAGAGAGGGGAATTGTCCATATGGCAGGAAGTGCATACCATGATCAGAGAGAAGCAACTGCCCCTGGGAGCAACTGCATTATTGTAATGCTTCTGTAAAACCATTTCCTTGAGGCATCTAAAAGACTATATAGAAAGCTGTCTAAAAGCAAATGTTTAACATCATACAACATTCCCTTCTTGCCTAATACATTCATTAAAACTTGAACTTAATTCTTTTTCTCTGAAGCCATGAATTCCTTCTCTTAAACTCACTTGTATTTATTTAGCTGAACAATAGTTATTTTAGTAGGAAATTAAGGATGGACTCTGTCCTTCTAAGTGTACTAAGGGTAGCCTTTTGATTCATTAGATACAGAGGACAATTGTGTTTCATTTTGAAGTTTTTTTCCTAATCATCTGAGGAAATTCCCAAGGACCGAAGGAAATTAGTTATCTGCCTCAAGAAGAAAGCATGTAAAATTAAGTACATTTTTAATCCTACTTTTACACAGTTTGAGAGAGACCTTCCTGGGAATATTATTTTTGCCTTATTGAAGGTTTACAAATTTAAATATATACAAAATTGTTTGATACATTTAGCTGAGGATGATTTCAGAGGCAAAGAACCTTCTCCTCATGAACTCTGCATTTTCCCCCCTAATCCCTTTATTAAAGTTTTAACCAAATTAAAGCAACAACCTTGCACATGCTGGTGTAAAAGCAGCTGTGCAGGATTATACTAAAGGCTCGTGTAATCTGTCCAGTACTCTGTCCCTGCAAGTGGCTGGTAGCTAGGGGAGGAGTGGAAGAGCATTTATAAGAAAATCCTATTCTTTGTGACCCATATCAGCCATAAGCAGTTAACAATTCAGGGATTTCCTCAACCAAAAGCTGTGTCTGGGCCATCACATTTGATATGTGCCAATGGAGATAACCTTTGAGAATGTATCTAATTCCATTTTGAACACACTTATGCTTTTGGCCTCCACGACATCCTGTGGCAAAGAGTTCCACAATTTAATGATGTGCTGTGAGAAAAAGGACTTCCTTTTAGTTTCAATCTGCTGCTTATCTCTTCATTGGTGCCTGTGTTTTAAGAAACAATCAATAATTAGTTCTTATTCCTTCGCCATACCATTTTTGCTTTATAAAGCTTTCTTGTATCTCATCTTAGTCTCTTGTAAGCTACCCTATTTAGCCCTTCCTTGTACGAACAGCCATTCCATATTATATCTTTTTTTGAGATGTGGTGAAGACAGTCACGTGGTATGTCCCAGAATCTCAAGAACATTTTATTTACCCTTTAACTAACATTCTGTTTACATTATGACTGTTGCAAAGCACTGATTGGAAGTTTTCAGGGATATGTCAATGAATGAGTCTTAGATTTCTTATTTCAGTGTTAAGAGCTATTGTGTCCATCTTTGCATCTGTATAAATAATTATGATTCTTTTCCCCCATGTAAATTACTGTGCACTTATTGACAGTGACTTTCATACACCAACTGATTATCAATTACTGAGCATCACATGATCCTTCTGGAGCTCTCTGTGATCAGCTTTGAACATTCCAGACAATCAAGTGTGACCTGGAATTTTGTCACGTCTGACACATGACTGATTTTTCAGAACTACCAAAAAATGAGAGTTGTATTCTACTCTGAATGTAGTAACTTCATTCTTAATGATTATTACTTCTAAACTGTAATCAGGCCAGTCCCAGTTCTTCATCAGAGGTCATGCTGTTGTACATCAGAAAAGAACCACAGCTTATTTTACGTTTCAGAACTTCCGAATATTATTTATTATTTTGCTGTTGAGCTGCTCTGGAAGTGACTGTGGCCCTTTCCAATTTGTGACTTCTGGTAGAGTTGCATTTGACAGCTTCTTATCTTCCTCCTGGTCTTTGCAAGTCACTACTGTACGCAGATAACATAAGGAGAGCTGGAGCTGCTACCTCTAGCAGGCTACCTTAGTGCCCCTTGGTCTATAGAGAATGCTCGCATCCTGCAGCATGGCTTTGGTCAAGTCTTGTCCAAAGAAGCCAGTCCTGTGAAACTGTTCTGAATTGCTACTGCCCTTGGTAGATAAAGCTGTTCTGGTAGAGCATGGAAACAGCTGGGTGAGTCTGACTGGGAACTGCTTGAGGAATACCTCCCTGGAAACGGCAAAGGCAGCTCCATCTGTATAGGATGTTCACTGTAGGGGTTGTAGCCAGGTGAAATAGCTCATCCCTTTGGGACTTTTTGTTTGCTTGGACTGATTATTTACCATCTGAGACACATTGTGAGTATTGACAGAAAGGACTATTAACACATTCCTTCTAAAAACAAACTCCATTCTTCCTTAAACAACGGTTAGTTTCTTGTTCAAGCAAAAGGACTAGCCACATTGCCTTTACCATTCAGTTTTTAAAAACAGTAATTAAGACCATGCTGACACTTTAATTAGGTTTCAGGTACTCCTCATGCATCTTTTGTTTATATCTGTCTGTATCTGGGTACAGACTGAAACTGAGTTTGTACTGGTGGCTAATCTTCGTAGCAGTGAATTATAGGTAAAGTTAAAAAAAAAAAAAACCAACCCAACCCAAAATGCTGCACATATACTGTAGAATGTCTTTAAATATTTTAAAAAACAAGAGTAGTTTTTGAGCTGTTCTAAGACTTAGTCAGTTCATCAGCCACAAATAAAATTGCCTGTTATCCTGACTTTTCTTTCAAAAATGATAAATTATTTTCCTATGGGAATGCAAAAGGGTAACATGGACCAGAAACAAACTGCATCTCTGTGGTTGGTTACCTGATTTCCTCAGAGCTGTTAACAATAATTTTCACCAACTGTGGGTCATTCATACTAAAGCATATCATCTTCTACAACAGGCCCTCGGTTCATTGTGTATTTTACAGAGCATTTCCCACTTAGTCTCCTTCAGCTTTATAAGCTACATATAGTAGGTGTGAAAGAAGTTTTGGGGTTTTTCTGCAATTTTTTTTCCTATTTATTTATATCACTTTGACACCAGAGAGGAAAGAAAATGTTGTTAATATTACCAGGAAAAAAGAAGCTGTATGCTTAAGACTTTTATCTTCTTCAAGACCTGTTCTGTGGTATTACCCACAGCTAAGCAATGTCAGATAGGCTGCTGGTGTCACCCAGTGGACAGAGAAGTTGATCACAGATAGGTGTCATGTAGATAAGTTTTTCTTTCTCCAGGAATAACGTGTTCCTTACAGAAACAGCCTTAATTTTACAGTAGTTAAGCCGATATTTGAAAGGTCCTCTGTTCTAATGCCATTACTAAAAATATGCAGAGCAAACACAGGAAGCAGTACTTGTTCCTCACCATTATTAGGAAGCGAACAAAGAATAACCAGACAACAATTAGTGGGTTCTCTCTCCTACTGGGAGAAAGTAGGTAAAATAACCAAGCAAAACAGTGTTTGTGCTGATGTTTACGGAAAGATGTGAGGATTATTGAAATCCAATTATAATGCAATTCTGTGAGATGCAAAACAAGATTGCATTTTCTTAGCCTAATAACAGCTTGCAACAGAGGTGAACAGCTTGTCAACAGAGGTGAACAAGACCTGGGGAATCCTCCCCTCACAGTGTTACAGTAATGTATTTCAAAACATGCAATGTATGCTTTGCATAAAAAACTTCAGTAGAATAAATCACGAATTAATCTCTTACAAGAAATTCTAATGTTTCCAGACCACATATGAAAACTATACAAGTGCTTAAAACTAACTTCAGTGCATGTTTCATCATAGACTTCTTCCTGATTTGCAAAGAGTACTTCTCAGAATGTTAGAAAACAAAAGATTTTCCATTTTTTAAAGACTGAAACACGCTGTTCTGCCATGTGCTTCAAGACTTTTTGCCATAGATGAAGCAGAAATGGGGTTAAGTGCATATAGATGGCTAGACTTAACCTCTGAACTCCAAAGGAAGAAATCATGTTCTTTTTCTAATGCTGTGGCAACTAGGACATGCTTCTTGCCCCTTGCAGGTGAATGAGGCTGACCTGATGCATTGTAAATTCTGAACTGCTAATAGAAAGAGGAGAGTTGGGGCTGCTGTGACAACATTCTGTAGTCCTCGAGAAGGAAAATTAGCATTCCACTCTCCTGATGGACCAAATACTCATGACATGGGGCAATCCCAAAGTCACTCATTTCTAACCAGATCACAATAATAGCATTAAAATTTAAACAATTGACTGTAATGATTTTAACATACCAAAAACATGCCAGGAGCTACATTATGTCTCTTTTCCAATAAGGAACCCTTGTGATCTGTAAATGCATCTGCAGAAGCGATATCATATTTGAGGAGGCGAAAGGAATCCAGATAGCCCTGAAGCAACAAGGGAAGTACAATTATATAATTAAGCAGGTGGTAAATTTTGCCTGACCAATTAAGCTAGTAACATTCCTTCTAAACAAGTCCTTATGAACTCAGCTGAATTCTCTTTCAGACCAGGTAGCAATGGTTCCTTACACTGTAAGTTTGATGACAGAGGCTTCTAAATTTCTCAGTTTCTCTTTGTGGGTGTATTTCTCTCTTCCTAAAGGAAACAGCACCTCTGATTTATAAAACTAGACTTCACAGTTGTGAGAACCGGGGTGGTAACTGGTCACTGTGCAGCCTCCTTATGGACTTGTCATAATCCTCTGGAATCCTGACTTATAAAAGTCTTGTGCTCCTGCCATTAGTGGACAGGGGCCAACTACAGGACCACACTGTGAGACAAGGAGGCAATACACAAGCCTTTTTTTCCACTGATTCCCAGTTAGGTTTTTGGGTCAGGCTTCCAGGAAGAAAGACCAATATGAAAATTAAGGTCTGAAAACACACTTCCTTCCTTCCTCCTCTTTTTATATAAAATGTAGGTATTTAATTCAGATGTAGCCTTTGTTTCTTGGACTAAAAATCCTGCTTGTGCTGAAATGCATGGAAGTTTTCTCAAAGATTTCATGAAGGCCAGAATTTGACCCCTTCTATGCTAACTTTTTCAAATGCAAATCAGAAATTATAGTTGCTGTGTGACCAGTTTCTCAAGGAATGGACAAATAAGACATAGTGAAAGAAGTAATTTTAATGCCTTAATTGGTACTGAAGCTGCAGCTACGCAGACTCAAATCCTCTTAACATTTTAATTTCAGTGCAGCTCCACTAATGTCTAGTGACAAGCAGAAGATTTTGAATACAGCAGTCACTGATGTTTACTGTTGTGCCCACAATGTCAAGATGATAAAAATGCCTTTTGAGTCTCTACTGCCATTTCCACTGTTAGCTTTATTGAGAAATTTTCAGGTAATTTTAACAATAGACAATGTCTGGGAGACATGGAAACAAGAAACATTCCTTGTTTTAAATTGTTTATCATATTATCTATCTTCAGCGTTTTTCCCTTCCAAACTTTAACTTACTTGTATTTCCAGTCCTTCTAAATACAGACTTATACAAAGACACTTTGTGCTGTGTATTTGCTTAGTACTTGGCCATGTGAATGTGAGGACAGGGTCTTGTATTAAATCACTACTCACTAAGTTTATACTGTAAGGAAAATTAACTGGTTTGAAATTTTCTAGCAGCATGCTTCTGTGTGGAATTTTTTTCATTCATTTTTATTAGAAATTGCTGATTCCTGGAAGCCAAAATGTTTCAACAAAACAAGATACTTTGTCACACTGCTACCAAATCACAGGTTTCTGCTCAAGCTATATAGGAGATTGTTGTGGTTACTAATCCTTGGGGCCCACAATGCCACAGTAGGCACACACACGCACCTCACAGGTTTTCCTGGTACTGTTCCACAAAGCTAAAAAGCCCCCCAAAACTCAGTTCTAGGGATTTTTAACCAAGGTTTGAGATCCCTACTCTGTATCAAGGGTTTATTCGGGGTTACTCCCTCAGCAGTTTCAGAAAAAAGAATGATATGAGGAATTCCTCTATGTTGGGAATAGCAATTTACTCCATCTTCAAAGATACAGATTCAAGCAATATTTAGTTTTCAGAAATAGTTTTTTTTTAAAATACTCTTTTTTTTTTTTTTTGTAGGAAACTCTAGCATTTCTAAATTTCTTTTCTACTTTTGAAATATCTTTTTAGTATTAAATTTCCTGTAGAACATGTATTTGGAGTGGGTGTCAGTTAGTCATTTCTCTAGAGACAACTTTTTAGGTATTTTAGCAACCAGATAAACAGAAAATTATCCCAAAAAGACTCTCTAAAGTTTTCAGCCATGTGTTGGAAAAATTATTTACTGTCTGATAAAACCCACCTGAGCACAAGGCATACTTCTGTTCTTGTTCTTTCTTTTATACAGCTGCTCTATCTTGTCTTCACTGGGATCCTTGTTTGTTTGTGAAGAAGATGAGACACAGACCACTATAACCTGCTCCTTAAAGGACATCTGATTGTTAATGAGGTGATCATACTCCAGGTCTGACACATAGGGAATCCAATGATTACTGCAGCTGCATGTCTTTCCTTCCTCCCCCATCATAATTCTTCGAAGCACAGCAGGACAAACAGCTTGGGATGTGACCCACAGCTTGTCCCTGCCATGAGGAAGAGAAAATATAGGTGAAAGTGTTGACAAGATATGTTGTCAAATAAATCAAGTACAGATTGAGGAATAATTTAAAATCATCTCTATAAACGACAAGCCTAAGCCCAGCCATCCCCTGTTACGTAAGGCGTGCAGTCATCTAAATGTTTCAGGTATTTCTTAAGGTCTGATGCAACCATGAGTGCTGTGGAGGTCCTGGCTTCTGCTGAAACACAGCCTCTGAAACGAAGCCGACATGAGAAAGAGGGATGTGCTTTAACCAGATGAGCTAGCCAGGCAGGCTTTGGTAGCAGTCAGGAGCAGACTACAAAGGCTACTCCGTAATTATTTGAAGGTCTCATAGGCACCTCTTATCTCAGAGAGCTGATTGTAGTATGCTTATTTTATATTCGTGTATATGTGCTATGTGTGTTCGTATTATTTGTCTTTCATGAGTGTGGTGAAGACTCATTTGTTTGAGAAGTCGTTTAACATTTTTGGGGGATTCTGTAGGTTGCTTGGTCCTGTAAAGCAGGCAGCAGGAGTGCCAAGTTCCAGAGCCTTATCTCCAGACCTCTTGTGAAGACATTGTGTCATCAATAAGAACCTGCCACACCACTCTAGATGATGGTATCTTTTGAACACAACTTCCTCATAGTGAGAACAAATCCCCTGAAAGGTTTGGACCAGAAAAAAAAAAAAAAAGGAGACACTAAAGCCCATAGGCCTCCCCTGTGGCCTTCTGAAGCTAATGGAAGTATTGTTGCTGTATTTGGGGATGTTGGATCAATCCCTAAATGGCTGTGCCAAAAGAAAAGCATTAAAAGAGAAACAACTATGAGGAGCACTGGCCTGAATTAGAAGTTGTACTGGAGGGAGCAGAAGGAAAAAGGAAATAAGTCTAAAATAACTGCATCAGAGAAAAGAGTCCGTAAGGGATCTCATAGAGAGCAGGAGAAGGCAAAATTTTGGTTTTCAGCTTCACATGTATGTAAAACAACATTACTGTTTCAGCATACTAGGAGCAATAATAAAATACTTGAGATTTATGGTATTTTTACTTTATTAGTTGAGCTACAGACTAGTCATATGAAATGAGAAGTACTTTGTTCCTTTAATTTTGCTCATTTTTAAACATTGCTGAGTTTGTAAAAAGGCACTGTTACTATTCATCTGTAGGAAAGTCATCAATAAAAGCAGACTTGCCTCAAAGACACAAGGGAACCTTTAGCCACCAAAAATACAGTGAGAAATCATGTCACCTTGTTTTTCTGTTATGAGAAACTGTAGACAAAGCATGAATGACAGCTGTGGATTACTTAGGTTTGAAAAGTTACTACTGCTTTTGATCCATATGCAGTGCATCCTATGCAATGGTGTAATGGCTTGGAGGCATATATGAACTACCTAATCGTATCCAGAAATGAACTGCTAGTAAACTACAAGCATCAGTGTTTACTCTGGAGTCATCACTGTCCAATCTTAGCTTAGATTTCCTTACCATGAATTAATGACGTACAGCACATTGCTTCTTTTATTTACATTGAACCGAGTCGTATGCAGTTTCTCTGATTTGGTATTACTGTTTAGTAGAACAGAAGCCCTGTATGAGAAAATAACAGCAAGTAAGTGAAAGTTTAATGGCAAAAAAAAACAGACAAGCATCTTGCATTAGTAAGATGTGCCACAGATGGGTGAAATCAGGTTTCAGATAATTGCTCAGGATATTGCAAACCTCTTTGCTTTACTGGATTGATTAAAAAGATATTTGTCTGAGACTATCAGGTAATTTGAAATCAAATACAGACCGTCCTGCTTGAAAAAGCAAGGACTCAGGAAAGATGCTGAAAACAACATTCCCTCCTTTTCTCTGGCTTCTCTTACATATTTTTAAGAAGTAAACCAAAGCAGTATGGCTACAACTCTAAACAAACTCTTAGCAAGAAAGCCTGAAGCTCCATTTTTCTATATATTATAATTGGCAGGTGGTGGGACTTGGAAGAACAGCATCATTCAAGCACATGACACACAGGACTTGCAGCTTCATAAATGCTGGTATAGAGAGGGATTGCTCTGAAACAGCTTTTTGGACGCTACTATCAAAAATGTGGCTGATAATATGAAAAAGTTCATCTTATTTGCTGAAATAGTATTTAAAGATCTAATAGTGTATTTTTCCAGACCTTCACAACTGCTGATTCATTATTGTTGATGCTTTTAGAGTATCACACGGGGAGATGTGAAGGCTCTGAGGTATTGATAATAACATTTCATGGAAAACGAATGTAAATTCTTATATGTGGCATAAGTAAGCACTCATAAAAGAACCATTTAGGGACTTAAGGGAAAAGCAGTTCTTTCATCTCCTCACTTTGTCCCCTTCAATTACCTGAGAGAATAAGCGTATGGTTCCTGCTGCATGCTGCAAGGAAGAGCTGACTGCATTTGATCTAGGAGAGGCGTTTCTGACTTGGGAGGTTGCCTGTTCTCTTTCCTCTTCCCTTGTGATCTCTGCATACCTGAGGTAACTGGGAAAGCATCTGCAGACTGAATTGTGCCCTTCCTTAAGGGTCGCAGAGGAAGGTCAGACATTTTCTGAAGGCGTATGCAGTCGATTCCTGAAATATACCACCACTGCTGAAATCAGTGACGAAGCAAGCCCTGAATTGATAACTGGTGGTGGCTTTGCGCTTATAAATGTAACTCATCTGCTGTGTGATCCAAACTGGAAAATTAATAGTGCAAGTCAATCACACAATTACAGAATCACAAAATGGTTGACGTTGGAAGGGACCTCTGGAGATCATCTGGTCCAACCCCACTGTTCACACAGGGCCACCTACAGCAGGTTGCCCAGGACCGTGTCCAGACAGCTTTTGAATATCTCCAAGGTGGGAAACTCCACAACCTCTCTGAGCAACCCGTGCTGGTGCTTGGTCACCATCACAGTAAAAAAGTGTTTCCTGATGTTCAGAGCAAACCTCCTGTGTTTCAGTTCCTGCTCACTGCCTCTGGTCCTGTCACTGGGCGCCACTGAAAAGAGCCTGGCTCCATCCTCTACGTACACTCCCTTCAGGTATTTACACATATTGATGAGATCCCCCTGAGCATTCTCTTCTCCAGGCTGAACAGTCCCAGGTGTCTCAGCCTCTCCTCATAGGAGGGATGCTCCAGTCCCTTAGTCATCTTCATGGCCCTTCACTGGACTGTCTCCAGTATGTCCATGTCCCTCTGGTACTGGGGAGCCTAGAAGTGGACACAGTACTCCAGGTATGAACTCATTAGTGCTAAGGAGATGGGAAGGATCACCTGCCTTGATCTGCTAAGGCCAAAATCTTGACTTAGGTTGTAGATCTTAAATCTGACCCTCACCCTTTTATACATCCCTCTTCCTGTCCAGAACCAGTGCTCTGCTGTTGGATTGGGTATAAGTAATTGGCAGGTTGGCAGGTTTTTCTGGTGGATAGATTATAATTCAGAAGAAAATATTATCAGTGTTGACAATTATGTTGACAAGATGGAAAATGAATCCTGTCAAAGGAACATGGTGATGCTCAAACTTTCCTGTAAGAAGACTCCAATATATGGAATGTATCTTTTGCTAAACTAACCAGCAAAGATACAGAATTCAGACAGAGCCAATTTTACTGAACCATTCTGAACCACTGGTTCAGTAAACCACAGCGTGTTCTCGTAGCTTTTGTTTGTATTACTAGGGAGGTTTTTATGCATCGAACACCCACAGAATGATTCCTGTGGCATGTAGCGCACCAGCATGAGTGCTCTAAATCAATTTAGTTCAATTCAACTCTGAAATTAAGTTTATATTAGCCTTCTGCCCAGTCCTGGCTTTCATGCTAATGGGAATTATGTGAACTCACAGTGGATCACCTTATCAGATAGTTCATTTCAGTGTTATAGCTAATGCATATAGAGCAACAGTCTTCAAAAAAGGTTTTTAGTTATTACATACTTTTTTCCTCCTCTTTTCCAAACCTTTATGCCTCCACCTCCACAGTCTCAGTCTAACAAAAGCTGCACTAATAGGGAAGTAGGGAATCAGACAGGTCATTACCTGTCCCATTGTCCCCAGTAGTTTCCTCAGTACAGGACTGGAATCCACTGTCTGTTCAACCCAGATATATCTCACGGAGCTGCACAGGGCATGTCTGTACTGTGCAATGTACCTCACTGCAGCAATCCCTGACCAAGTCGCTGTGCTCAGCTCAGTGCAGTTCCATGCAGAGGTATTAGCCTGGCCCTGGGAACAGCGCAGAGCGTTAACGTGCTGCCATGCCTGTGCTAAATGTCCCAAGCCCTGTAGGACTGATCAGTCCGAAGGCAGTGGCACTCTGACACAGCTCTACTGCTGTCAGCTGTGGAGTGGGATTCTTCAGCACTTGCCTGGCCATTTTAATGCCACACTTTATGGAAACAGCAGAGAAATACCTGCTGTTCTCAGAGCAACCATGTATCTCAAGTTCTGGCTCACCAATTTGAGTAACAGGTTGCCTATTGGCCTCCTGTCTAGTTCAGTGTTCACTCCAGCAGCATCTGCATTCTCTGGTGGTCAGCCTGGGGCTGACTTTCAGCGGACTATTTAGTCTACTCTGGTACCTGCTGATACTGAAACAAGCTCAAAACCCAGCTTTTTTCTGACTCTGCCTGACCTAGGGCTGTGCGATAATACTGCAGCCAGTCATCCACGATGCTCCGAATCTTCCTCTGCAAATTCCTCAGTTCTCTGGCTGCACTGATGTCGTTTATGTGGCTTACAGTTGCCTCTGGAACTTCAGTTTTTGTCAACAGCTCTGTCAACCTTGGCTTTAAAAAACAACAATGGAAAAACAAATTAAAGAACTTAATGATTCCATCTGGTGTTTAACGGTGCTGACACTGGCATAACACTATTAGATGCCTCAGAGATACAAATACCTTCTGAGTACACGTTATTGATAGAACAAGGTGTAATTTAAAAGGAACTTTTAGCCAACTCAACCGTCACTGGAGAATATTTGCAATAGTGAATCCTGCTCTCTTCTAGCTTGGACAAAGGAGACTATAAATACTGAAAAGCAGAGTAAATGCTCTGACTATTTGTCTGCTTGGCTGGGCTCATGAAAACTCCAGTGGCCAAAGAAGATAGCACTTTGCACTATGCCAAAAAAAAAAAAAAAAAGCATGAAGCAGATATAACTTCTAGATGTTTCACTGAATCTAGAACCATTTAAATATTCACATTCCAAACAAATGCTCTATCTTTAATTTATTGTGAACATATATAGTAGCGGTGTGATACACCTAACAACGTTTTACAAACAATAAGTCATACATCACTGTATGTTTGAAAGAGCCCTTGATAACTATGGAAAATTAAAATTAACAACTAACAAAGTTAGGCCCCTCTGAAAAATCTAGATGTAGCTTAAAATTACTATAAAATTAATTCCACACAGAATATCCACTTCATGCCTTAAATGAAATGCTTCTAAATTAAAAATAAATGTGTTTAATGTTGTGCTCCTTGATATTCGTTTTTTTTTTCCAGACAGAAGGTGGCTATGGCAGGACTGCCGTGATTTTATTTTTGGTTTATTCATTCTTTAAGTTAGAGTAGATACCAGATAACTCACTCTTCTCCAGCTGTAGGATTCTCTCCAGTTAAAATCAAAGTGTATTTTTGAATTCTACACAGGTTTTGGTCTTGTTAATTTCTTGCATAAATCAAAATAAGCCTAATACCTGCTTCTTTACTTGCAATTAGTCAGCTTACCCACTGAAGGTTAATGTAACT